TCATAGATGGCCATCTTTTTGCCGTGTCCTCATGTAGTAGAAGGGAGCAAGACAGCCCTCTGGGGTCTCTTTTCGTTTTCTTTTTTTTGAGACAGAGTCTTGCTCTGTTGCCCAGGCTGGAGTGCAGTGGCATGATCTGGGCTAGCTGCAACCTCCGCCTCATGGGTTCAAGCAATTCTCCTGCCTCAGCCTCCCGAGTAGCTGGGATTACAGGCATGCACTACCACGCCAGGCTAATTTTTGTATTTTTAGTAGAGACAGGGTTTTGCCGCGCTGGCCAGGCTGGTGTCGAAATCTTGGCTTCAAGCAGTCCTCCCGCCTTAGCCTCCCAAAGTGCTGGGATTGCAGGCGTGTGCCACCACGCCCAGCCTGAGGTGTCTTCTTATAAGGGCACTAATCCCATGCATGAGGGGACAGCCTCATGACCTAATTCCTCCCAAAGGTTCCACCTCCTATTACCGTGGCCTTGAGGATTTGGATTTCAACATGTGAATCTTGTGAGGGACACAGATGTCCAGACCATAACAGTGCTGTAGGCTAAGTCTCATTTGTTTTAAGTTGTGTGTGCTCAGTGCATGTATTTATTTACGTATCTAGTAAACACAGATACCGCAGAACCTCATTACTTGGCATCATTTGGAGATGAAGGTTCTGGAGAAGTGAATATTTTTGTGCTTCATTCATTTCTGAATCTTAATACCACCAGAGTTTGAAGAAAATCTTTCTAAAGTGTATTACATGCTTCCCTGCCTTTTAACACGAGATTTAGGAAAATACAGGTTTTCTTGATGACTTAAGGTTGTGGTCACGCACAACAGTGACTGACCTCAAGCCTGAAAGTGTTCGTCCCAGGATTCTTAAGGTGAGATTGTTGATTTTTAAGTTAACGATCCTCTCTTTTCCCTTCTCTTGTTTGTTGGGTGGTTGGTTTTTCTTTCCATCGTTTTGCTTCTAGCAGCCATTTCTATTTTTTGCGACCTGCAGCTTCATGTTTGCTCAGGCTCAGTTCCATAGATATAGCTACTTAATAACGAGCATTTCCATTTGGTTAGCACATTAGCGTCATGACAGGGAGGGGAAACTCAGGCAGTTGTCCTACCTGATGCAATTCCAACAGCATATGAAACATCTTTGAGGATAAAACTTTTTTTTTGGAAGATAGCTTTTAATGTCTTGATATTTTTCAGGCCATTATTATCATTTAATTAAATAAATTCTGTCTACCCTTCAGCATTTACATACAGGGGAAGAAATTGAGGTTCCAGGGTTAAGGTTAAGTAGTTTTGTCCAAGGTCACAGAATGGAAATCAAACTAGAATTCTTCTGCCTTTCCAAAAGCTGCTTTTGTTTTCTGAGGCCACCAAAGCCCAGGCTCATTCCGTCCTTATTACATTGGCTCTGACTTGTCTCTGTGCCCTCCCCTTAAACCTTCATCAGATGCACCCTGCTCCTCCTGCCGTACCAGTTCTTCTACACAGCTCCGAGCAGGGCTCTCCCTGCCCAAAAATATGCAATGGTTTCCTATTCCTGCCAGCAGAATAAAGCTGGGCTCACAGAGCTGCATCTGAAGCCAAGGGTCTGTAAACATTCACCTCAGCCTGCCTTAGCAGCCCTTTTCCAGCCTTCCACCCTTTTTGAGGTCTTGAAATCACACAGGTTTACTTAGTGCTTCTGAAATGAACTCTGCTCTTGGGTTCAGGCCATTCTATCCAAATCGTACTTCTTCCTCAAAACCAAACACAAATGCTATATCCTCACTAACATTTTTCTCAACCACTCCAGCTTAAGTGATTTTTCCCTTTTGTAAGCTGTGAGAGGTATTACTGACTATGCAATTAACATGTCAGTAACAACACAGTACTTTCTTTTCTTCTTAAGGATGATTGTTAACTACTGAAGTGATGTGTCTTTTCACCCCATCTGATTGTAAACTATCTGAGAACAGGAGTTACCTCCTGTATCTCTCTGTATCTATGGTAGACCTAAATTATAATAATGATCACTATTATAATTGATCTTTAATAATTGATTATATTTAATAATTTATTATGTATAGAAAAATATCATCAGTAGCTTCTTTTTTGGCTTGCCATTTTGTAGTTATACTCACATACCATATTGCCGCTTCTGTTTTCTTACTCCAGTTTATGTTTTAAAAATAGTTTTACTCCCAGGCTTATAGATTTTTATGTACAGATTTCAGGAACAAATACTTTTATGTTCACAGGTCAGCCTCCAAAACATAAAGGAAAACAAAAATCTCGAAACAATGAATCAGAGAAGTTCAGGTATGTTTTTTCTCTAAGGTGTGTTTTTTTCCCCCTAGCGTACTCTCCCCAAGTAAAAGGAAAAAAAAGATTGTTTTTTGAGTGTTAGCTACTTTAATGTATGTAATATGATGAGTACCAAAATCCCTTTCAAATATCAAAAGCATATCTTTAGGAAATGATAATTTTTGGCTAAAGGATTATTAATCCTGGATATTAATATGTTGACTTCTGAAAGTCATGTAATATTTAATATGTCCATATTAATTTTTTAAATTCCAGAATATGTACGCTAAAAGGAAAAAGCATTGAGAGAGATATAAGATGCACATGAAACCTCCTTCCTTGCTCACCTCATTTGACCCCTCCTGCAGTCCCTTCCCTAGGGCCTCTAGGAATGCACTGTTAACAGTTTCATGACTATTGGGAAAGTTACTCTGCATATACAGCCATGGGTATGCATATTTCAGATACCCTTTTGAGTAATTATCGTTAGAGGAAAATACTTCCTAATGAATTCTGACTACTTATAAAATGAATTCTATCAAACATCCCCATGAAAATTAACTGTAATTAATTGCCTGCTATCTTTTTTTTTTTTTTTTTTTGAGATAGGGTCTTGCTCTATCACTTAGGCTGTGGTGCAGTAGTGTGACCCTAGCTCACTGCAGCCTTGAACTCCTGGGCTCTAGTGATTTTTCTGCCTCAGCTCCCAAGTAGCCGGGACTACTACTGCTACTATGGTGCATGTCACCATGCCTGGGTAATTAAAAATAAATTTTTTTTAGAGACAGGGTCTTGCTCTGTTGCCCAGGCTGGTCTTGAATTCCTGGCCTCAAGTGATCCTTCTGCCTTGGCCTCCCAGAGTGCTGGCATTCCAGGCGTGTGCCTGGCCTTGCCTCCTATCTTTATAGTTAATACCCCATTGCCAACAAGATATAAATTGATTACAATGTGAAATTGTAAATCTTTTAATACAGAAGTTTTTGAAGTGAATGAAAGTGATGTTGGAGAAATAGCAAAGCCATGTCTGCCACAATACACTGGTTTTCAATTTCTTCTCCATTTCTTAACCTGAATCCATAATAGATGCTTCAGGGAGAATTATTTGAATATCAAAACACTAAAAAAAGTCAGTGAAATCTCATTTCTTTTCAAAAATGGCCATTTTTGGATGCTGCTACAAAAATTAAATACAAAGCAAGGATATAGCATATTATTATGTTTTTCTATTATTTGATAGAAAAATCATGAGTCTTCTTCCCTGCCTTCCCCTGTACCCCTAAAGAAACCAGAGCTTAATACATGGTCATTTTTTGAATGCAGGATTGTAATTTTAACCTGTTTTATTAAAAAAAAAATTTATTTTTCTGATATTCTGTTTCTCTTTTCAAACTGAACACTCCTTATTTAATAATATCTACCATATGGGACTATTTCATCATTAAATGGGATAACCACATAAAACACTTAGAGCCCTGGAACATAGTAAATCTTCAGTGTACTTCAGCTGTCATTATTGCTGTCACCATCATTTTCATTGTTATTAGAATGACTCTGACCTACAGCTTGCTTTTTTGTCTTTTACAAAATATCTTGTGTTTCTTCCCATGTTCAGAACACAGAGCTCTTCCATTCTTCATTTGCTGCACAGTATTTTGTAATATAGCCGTATCCCCTATTTTTGTGCATTTAGGCTCTTCCTTCCTCTTTTACTCCCTCACTTTCTTTCCCTCTCTCCATCTCTCTCTTTTTCTTCTTTCTTTCCTTTGAGAGGGATAAATCATATGGTACTTCAAACATCCTTGCACATGCACCTTTGTGCACCTGTTGATGTATATTTACAATAAATACTTTGTAAATAATGTGTAGAAGTTGTTTCTATAGTGGGATTGCTGTATCAAAGGGGACGTGTGATTTTAACTTTGACAGATATTGCCAAATTGTTCTCTCAGAAAATGGGCACTGTTCACACTCCTGCTAATCTACAAGAGGGTGCGGTGTAATAAAAAATACGT